AGTAGCACTGAGAATAATAAAAAATCGAGGAATTTGAAATACATGCACGTGTCCCGGGATACAGCTTATTACTGCCACTCATTCAAAAACCAATGGGAAAGTAGATGGGGAAATTTTTTTTTAAATGTGATTACATGTATCACTTTGATGTTTTTAACTTATTTCAAAATGAGATTTTTCCACCTGAGTAGATTACAGCAGGTTCTAGCCACAGAATCAAACAGCCTTATACAAGTAGAGAGTCCTGGAGGCAAAGTGAAGAGCGTGGAGCCAGCCCCAGAGGTTACGCATGAGGCAGCTGTGAGTTAGCAGTACCATCATTTTTCATGCAGCAATAGAGAGGAAAGACCTAATTCTGCCAGGCAGCAAGTGTATCTGGTGATTCCTGAATATTCCCAGTGTCTGTTACTAGCAATGCTCAAGAGAGTGCTCAGTATTTCAGCCAGATCATATCCCTCCGAAGACAGTTTTCCTTTAACCTTGGCGAGGAGTGGCACAGGCTGCAACTCTGTAAACACTGTATGCTTATTTTATGTTAATATCTAGAACAGTCCCCTCATGCAGTCCCAGTAGCAGAGTCAAACATCTGTGAGAGCTTATGCTGCAGGAGTTGGTACAGAATGCAAGGGGGAAACATGACAGAGGAAGGAGAAGCAAACACACAAGAACGTAGCAGGAAAAGGCAGAGAAAAGAAAGTGGATAGGAATGCAGAATCAGAGGGAAAAGGCAGGCAGTAGAAGAAACCCAAAGATGAGAATTTAAGTGACAAGTGAATTTAACAGTCAAAGTCAAATCAATAAATGCTTTGTTTGTTTCTTTTAATGGAAAGGAAGATAAATCTACATGGGAACTTTCCTGTATGTCATTAGCATGCTGTAGAAATCCTGTTCTGTACAAAGTCTCTGTAGATTTGGACAATTCCTTAGAGAAAGTGAAATTCTCAGGAAATCTCTGTGAAGAGAGAGGAAAGAAAGAAAGAAAGAAAAGACAGGGAGAAAAAACTCTGTATGATTCCAGCATACAAGAGACTGTTCAGTGATGAACAGACAGAGGTGCATCTCAGCCCCAGTTGTTGGTGTTTCCCTTGACTTGTTGCTGTGAGGCAGAGCTGACAATAGGCACGACTGACTGCAAGATGCAAACTGCTTTCTTTGGTCCTTGCAGTAAGAACCAGGCACAAGCCTGAGAAAAGGTAAAGCATTTTCCCAAGATACTGCCAATATCTGGATAGAAAAGAGTGTTTCAGGTTTGCTCTGAGAGAAATTAAAAGGCCCCAGTGAGCCTTCTTAAAAGGCTCTGCAGAAGAAAACTCCAGCAGCAATATCTTCTCTGTATTATTTAGTCAGAAAGTGATTCTGCTCTCTAGTACACCTTTTCAATCGTGCAGCACTTGTGCCTATCAGCACTGTGCATGGAACCCAGCAAGCCCTTCGGTCACAGAAAGGCCAGCTTTCTCCACAAGGTTAGCTTGTGTTAGGAATGTGCAAGGACAGTCATAACCTGAAATTCAAGCTGGCTTTTCTGCATCATACAACAACATAAAATGTTTCTAAAGTAGTAGAACACAGCTAGTAGGCCTGTTGGTATGTGTCAGGGCAGAATGAAGTGTTTTCCAATTCTAAGCACACAAAGCCCCCTGAAAAATCATCAGATTGACCCCATGTCCTTAAGATAACAAAATAATCAACCCCAAGCGTTTTTCCTGTTCATACTTAGCTTTATGATCCATTAGGCTACTCTTAATTTCCCTATTGCAACCACGGGAGCTAGAAAAATAGAAATGAAAACTGAGATGATGATACAGGCTTTTGGTTTCCAAAGGTGGGGCTTTAGCAAAGACTACCCCCACCAATGTCAAGTTGGCCCTGTGTGGATTTCAGGAGCCCACCCAGGCAGAGCAGCTTGCAAGACCCGTGCCTAAAATTACAATGCATTCTGCAATTACAGAACAATGCTGACAATAGCATTTTGTCACTAAAATAAGGAGAAACAGTTCTGAAGACACATAGGGGATATGTAATGGAGTAACTAAACAAAAGAAGCAGTACTGTTCAGTAGTGTTCTGAGCACAACAGTGGGCTAATCGAAGGGTTATAGGCTGGCATGATATTTCCCTCCACAGATGTTAATGGAGCACTACTGCACATGATTTTAGATTAATTTCTTGAATGAACTTACTGCCACGTACATTAATGAGCACAGAAATCTGGCAGAGTATCTGTCCCTGCGGCTCCAGTTCCAAGGTAAGACACTCGTCTCCGTGCTATTGTAGAAATTCTCTTTGCAGAATGCAGCCAGCTCGGTGGTATAACTTGCCCTCAGTTCACAATTTTCCATTTCAGACTCACTGTCTCTGTCTTGGTTTCGGTCTATTTACTCGGAGCCATTTCTTAACAATGTCTAATTTCCTCAAGGAATCCCTCTGAGTCCCCTCTCTTAGAAATGCTGCCATATCTTTTTTTTAATCATTGAAAGGCACAAATATCCTTCCTGAGCTCTCTTACCATCCAGCCTGATTATATACATAGATTTCAGTCTCCATACATTTTCAACACAGTAGGAGTTCCCAAAATGCAGCCTCTGGGGATTGAAATTGTGGCCCCAACTACAGCTTACCAAGATGAAAACAAAGCCGATCAGGTACTGTTTTTTACTGTTAATGAGCCTAACCAGCAGGCAGTTATAACTCAGTCTGGAAGACATAAGCTGTTGGAATTGCAGTGCATTCATTTTTTATTTATAGCAATGCACATTCAAATTACAAGTAGAAGTAGCCCTCCAGCATCTGGCATTTTGCCAGCGCCTGACCATCACTGTGACAAAATTTGAACATCTTGAAGATATAGAGTGCCTTTTGTTGTTCTTCTTGATAGCATTCCCTTTCTCTCCCACTCCCAATTCCCTAGACTGCCAAAAGTGGGCAGCTAAGCTTTGTTAAGTTAGGATTCAGACTTATGAAAATCAAAGAAATTAGCTGTTTTTCTTTCTCTCTTGATGGTGATGTACAAGTCAGACGTGCAGTGATCCTCTGGTAATGAAGAAGAAGCTCAGTCCTTCTGGCAAATGTAAGAGTAAAAATGAACTAATGAACAAGGCCATAAATAAGCAGGTTTCTTGGAGAGGGAGCATATTATTAGCTTGCTGACTTAATGGCAATTTTAACTACCTCATCCAAAATCACAGTGACTGAAGTGTTTAACCAGAGAGACTCACAGAACCCTTTCAGGAAGATGTCATATGAGGAACACGGGGTAATTCACCTCACCTTGCTACCAATCAGTTTCCAATCAAACCCCTCCCCTGAATTTAAGTTACAAACCTCAAAAACTGTGTGGCAGACTTGACAGCAATTAACGTTTCTCAGCCGCCAGCTGGGTTTTAGACTCTCCCTTCCAAGTGATCTCGTTGTGTAGGTTTTAAAGGCAACCTGACAAGGTGCTGCTTTGAGGAGCTTGATGATGCACCTCTGATTTTAGGGAGATTGTGCTATTGCGCTCAGGGGACACTACGGCTACAGACAATGGTGGAGCAAGCAAAACAACAGCAAGCTGTTGTTTGGCACATTGAGTCTCTGCTTTCATCTTTTTCTTAATGTTCTCAGTGAGGGGGCTTCATAGGAGGCACTGTTGAGAACTTATCCTTATTAGCTTAGATGTTTAGTTCTGTGTGCAGCATATCTGCAGGAATAACCATCAAATGTGCTAGAGTATTCCCTGAGCCTAAAACCCTCAACATTCATTCTTTAAAAGTGAAGGACAATTTTCTAAGTCATATAGAGCCAAGAAATACAAGTTTTGTTTGAAAATAACTAGCTGTTGCTGGAGTCAAACTCTCATCAATTTCAAACCTAGCCAACGGCTTCCCAGCCCATCCGTGCCAATAGCTCTGCTCTCGGATGGCTTGGGATCACTTTTGTGGCAGTAGGCTCAGGCTGAGAGCAGCTTCACAGGGCTCTAAACACAACAGTGCTTGCACAGCGAGTCCCACTGAACGTTAACAGATGTAAGCTTTTATTCCCTCCTCATTCCCACCTCAGATAGAGCACGAAAAAAAAGCAGTTTTACGTGTGGAGCGCTCTCCTTTTTAACCAGCCCCGTCTCTGGACTGCACGCCACAGCCTCGCTGCAAGTGCAGCTGGACTGGCTGAGCCCCCTGCTCTGCCTCAGCCTCGCGCCTCCTTCCCACGCTTTGAACGAATCGATGAGAAACCGATGACAACGCGCCGGGTTCCCCGCAGCGCTCCCCCGGCCGGGCTCTGCGGCACTGCCAGGACCCGGGGCCCCCGCCCAAGCGCTGCGGTGCTCCCGCGGCCCGTACAGCCGAGCGGCCCCGCAGCACCGCTCCAGGACAGCCTCGGCACCGACATCATTCCCGCTCGGGCCCCGGCTGCTCCCTGAGGCGGGAGCTCCCGCCAAGGCAATCGCCGTGCTCCAAGGGCCACCGAAGTTATCGCTTTCTCCCCCGACGACGGGCGGCGCGCGACCAGTGACACCGTTCACCTAAGAACACGCCAACCCCGCGCTGAGAGAGGCCGAAGAGCAGAAGAGGAACGGCAGCACTTCAGCAGCGCCGGGCCGGGCCGGGCCCGACCGCGCCCCCGGAGGCCGACCCTCCATCGGCCCGGCTCTCCCGCCCCTCTCCTCAGCCGTTCCCGGGCCGCCCCCTCGCGCGCGGCGGCCGTTGCCGCTCGGCCCCCCCGCTGCCTATTGGCCGCCGGGCGGGGGCGGGGCGCGCGCGGCGGGGGCGGAGCCGCCGTCAGCTGTTCGCGGTTCGCCCGGCGGCGGCGGTGGCAGTTTGGCGGCGGGGAGGCGCGGTGACGGTTCGGCTGCAGGGGCGCCCCCGTCCCCGCGGGACACCCGGCCCGGCCCGGCCCGGCCCGGCCCGCTCGGCGGTGAGTGCCTGGGGAGCCTCCTCGCCGCCGGGTCCACGGGCGGCGACGCGCTGGGGCCGGCGTGACAGTGCCGCCGGGGTGCGGGTGCGCCTCTGGGCAGCCCGGGTGCGGCGGGGCGCGGCCGGTTACGTGCGTGTGTGCCTGGGGCTGCCGATCGCGCCCCGCTGTCCCTGCGTGGGCACCGCGCGCGATTCTCGGCCGCCCGGGGCTCGCTTCCTTGTAGGATAGCGGCGTGAGCGGGGTTGGGGAGGAACGCGGGGTTGGGACCGAGGCAGCTTGGGGCGGCTCGGAGCCCCTCGGACTGCGGGGTGCCGCGGGGAGCCCGGCCGCCGGAGCCGCGATCGTCTCTCGGGGGGGAGGAGAGCTCTAAGTGTCGTGGGGAGGGAGGAGTTAAGGCGCTGCCGGTGCCGGAGCGAGAGCGGCCGGCTTTGTTTTGGACGCTGGCACGCACGTGTGCTGAGCCCTCCCCCGGCTCTGCCGCGCGGTGTCAGCGCCGGCATGTGACCGCCGCACGGAGGAATCCCATTGACGCGCCGCTGGGGGAGCGCGGCCGGGCGGTGCGTCCGGCGCTGCCGCGGGCGGCTCTCGGCTTCGGCGGCCGCCGCTCACTGAGCTGTGCTCGGGGCTCTTGGGAAGAACTGAAGTGAGCTCTAGGGTAAGTTGTCCTCTACGCTGCTTGGGCGTTCTGTCTGCAGCATTTCCTAAGTGATCTGAAGTCTGCTTCAGCTGTGGGAGGACCACTAAATCTTGCTCTCTGTAGCCTCCTTTTGTGAAACGTTTGGTGCCTTTGTTGCACTTCGTTGTGATGATCGCGTGTGTCCCAGTGGGGCCCTGACGGATTAGACTCGGCAAACCTTGCTGTGAAGATAAAATGCGCGGTCATTTTTGCCTCTCCGTCAGATGTGCTCCCACAGCAGAGCTGGCAGAAGATCTGTGCCACCGTCTCAGGACCCGTGACTCCCTTTGGTGCTCTGCCCTTCAGCGTTGATGAGGTTGTTGTAATGTTACGCGAAGGCAGCGTGGCTGTCATCCATCCGTGGTGCTGCTGTCCATTCTGCAAGTTTTCTTTGGCACTGGTGGAGGGCCGAGTGAGCTGCTGGGGTGCAGTAACCCAAATAGATGCCCCTCAGCCAAGGCCCTGTGCACAAAGCTCGTGCCCTGGTCGAGCCCTTTGTCTCTTCTCACACACCGGTGTGTCAGTGCAGCTCACCTGGGGGGAGATGGGAGATCCAAGGGGAGCACTGAACGTATTCTTATAAAATTATTATTAATGTCTCCTTCAGGCTTGAAATTCCTCTTGCTAGTCTTCCGTTCTGTTAAATGCTTCGCAAACCAGAGCAGAGGAAGAGACCTGAAGAGTTGAATTTCACTGCCTTGTTTGGAACTGGGTGGAAATCCTGGAGATGGATCTCTTAGGAGACTGTCTTCCAATGGGGTTAGATACACAGGTAACAGTAAAGGGACTTGTGGCTTTTTGGAAAATCTGCTTCTAATTACTGTATGTTTGCAAAGAGCTCTGAAACAGTGATTTAGGGTTTGAGTTCTTTCTTCCATCATCTTTGTCCCATTTTGTGCTGCAGCAGAGCTCAGGAGCATTTGATATGGTGATTACAGAAGTCCTGCTTTAAAGCCTGACACTGGCAAATGTTTTTTTTGTTGTTGTTGTTTATTTGTTTTTTGTTGTTGTTGTTTCTTTGTTTTCCTTCTTTTCTGTAGCAGTAGGGCAAACTGACGCACTGACAGTGCATGTAGGTTTGGGGGTAAGAGGGGTAATGAAGTGGCTGTGTTGCCAAGTTTGGGACATGTCTTGAGTTGAGCCAAGGGAAGAAGTGGGAAGCTGAACGGAAGGTTGATTTATATTGGGAGAAGCTGTGGAGAACTTCACAGGAACAACTTTGCCAGATCTTGTGAGCTCTGCAGCCACCAGGGTTTCTTAAATACTTGGCCTTGCATCCTTGTGATTATGAACTCTACTTCAGCAGATGGGGGAAAAAGTGAATGGGGCCAACCATACAGTTCAAGTAGAGCAGGCCAAAGCAGAGCAAACCCCAAAGAAGCTGACTGGCACAGGGCTGTTTGAGGGATTGGTCTTCATTTCAGGTCTTCAGTTCAGGTCAAGTGTCTTCAGTTTCTATGTGCTGAAGTTGGGGGTTGGCTCCTGCGCTGTGACCAGCTGTGGGATTGGAGCCCTGGGTGGAGTCTCTGACATGTGAAATTTGGCTCTCTCTGGCCAGGCACACAGAGACTTACTGCAAAGCCCCAATCTTCACCACTGAGTCTCTCACCTCTCATGCCCACCCAGATGGACTGCATTGGTAGGGAGGGGGCAGCAGATGCGGAAGCAAGAGCTGTGTTTTACTATCGGAGCAGAAGGCATTGTCTCCTGGATGTGATTCTTGTGTCTTAGCTGTTTCCTCAAATGTCTCTTTATTGCAGGAGCAATGGATCGCCCCAGCTACCTGGAAGAGGACTATTCTAGCCTGGATGGGCTGGACGATGACGTGTTTCACTCTGATGACTTTGGACTTGCAGGTCAGCCTGGTGAGATGACTGCAACTGGCATTTTCACACAGAACCAGTCCTACAGCTGCCTTCTGGGGAGGTTTCAACTATTTCCCCTCACACACTGCTGTGGTCCCGGTGTCAGGCAACCAGAGCAGCAGGACAAGGCAACTCAAACACTCAGCCCGTCCTCTTCCAGTCAGGATGTTATGTTGCCTTGTGGAGTCACTGAAGAGCCCCGGAGACTCTTCTATGGTAAGAGCACTCCAACATCCAGCTTTTCAGCAAGGAAACTGTCCCTTCAGCACTTCCCCAGCCAGGCAGTTTCTTTCATTAGAGCTTTAAATTAAAAGACTTAAATTATTTTGCTTTTGTCCTATTCCCTAAAGAGTGACAACTTGTATTTTCTTATCCTTGCTTGTCACTGCAGGAACTAGGCACTTGCTGATTGCTTCTGCTGTGCTTGATACTTCTACTTTTTTTCTTTTTCACTTTATTCTGTCAGTTTATTTTGCTGCCAGGCATTAAAATGTTCGCCATCTGTCGTATCCTACCATTTACCTGCTTTTTTTTTTTAAACCTCTTGTGCTACTCATCCACATAAGAAAAACTCTTGAAGTTTGCAATGAAGAGAAGAAAATGCAAAAATTTCCACTTAATGGTACAGACTTTAGGCTCTTTACTGGAATTAAACTTGTTGAATAAGTTGCACTTTAATGATAACTGATGGGACACCACTCAATATTGTGTATCCAATCCAGCTTTAATTCAAATCAGTCCCACTGAACACCAGAGAAAACGACTGAGAAAAGTCTGAAGGAAAACATACAGTAACCCTTAAAAGGGGGCAACTTAAGGCAAAGATGTTGGAAGAAATGTGAAATTGTCATTAAAGAAAAAAGAACAGCTCTGCACTTGCCTGAACCATAAACAAGCAAAAAGAACCAAGTGGAATATCCTACCAGTCATTTGATTAGGGGAAGCAACACAATGTTATGCTTAATTGTTATAAATCTAATTAAATGCTGAGCAAATTAAATTTGTACTGCATGTTTATGGTATGTGCATTCATTGTTTGGGCTTCAGAAACTGGACTTTAAAATGAGTTTAAAAAAAAAATAAATAGGATTACGTGCAACTCTTTCTGTATGCCTGAAATGTAATACTGAATAAAAGAACTATTCTTTATGCTAGAAGAATGACTCTTCTGGTCTCTGTTTTGTAGGGAATGCTGGTTACCGCTTACATGTCCCCCCAGTTGGCTTTGCATTGGATCCAAATCTCCAAGAAGAGCCTCAGGAAGGTCAGCGGGAGGCGCGTACTGAGGTGCAGATTGCACGGAAGTTGCAGTGCATTGCAGACCAGTTCCACCGGCTCCACATACAGCGGGTAGGGTGTTTCCTCAGGGGAAGGTGGGGTATTTCTTATCCAAGAGTGGTGCTCCAGAAGACTGGCTCCAGGCTTCAGCTAAGCAATGGCCTAGGGCAGCCATAGGCTGCCAGCAGTGACAAAACGGCATGGTATATTTATGTATTTTGCTTATGCTAGATTGATGGCTCTCTTTAAAAGATTGACAGGTAGAGGGAAGAGCACATATAGAACTGCACTTACTGTCTGGGAAGGTAGCTGCTGTTGTCTGCTATTCCAGCTCTCCTGGTTCATCAGCAACAGGGTCACTGATGCTTTCCCTAGCATTTTACTTTTCTTCTCTGCTCTCCTTACCACCAGCATCATGTCTTCTGTGGTACAGTTGGTTGGCTGTGACTTGTGTCAGTTCCTCATCTTGGAGCTGACAGCAAGCCTAGAGTCTGTTTTGGCACTTCTTGTTGTCTAGGGATAGTTGTCTCAAATATTAGAGTGTATTATGATCATGCTAGACTTGATAGCAGCTCCTCTGTGAGACAGTCCTAGCTAGTGTCTCAGACTTGTGACCAACTTCCTCACAACAAAAGACAGCTGTAAAATACCATCAGGTCTGAAAAACAGAATCTTGTTTTACTTTGCTTTAAAAAAGAAAAAAAAAAAAGAAAAAAAAAAAAGAGCTCTGCTGTTTTTAAAGAAAGAAAATAAAAGCAACGTCCCTTTAAAACCTAGATTCTCCCTCCCTTCCCTACTGAATGGTAAACAAATAGAAATTCCAGCCATGCAGAGTTTGGTGACCAGAGTTTGGCAGCACTTCCCTACTTGTATGCAAGTCCAGCAAGGTGTTGCAGTGTGTATCCAAATGTGCATATGAAGAAGTTGACACTTGCTGACTTCAGAGAGTGACAAGAAGCTTATCTCATTCCAAATGTGTTGTGTTGTTAACTGCAGTTCGTTGTAATTCTTCTCAAAGGTAAGTGAAGAGTTCTGCCCTGATCAGAGGATGTGGCTTGTAGCAGGGCAAAGTTTTAGTTGTCTCTGATAAGAAAGAGAAAGGGGAAACAGGACTCTTCTTAACGGAAGGTTAAAGCTGTAACAGGAAGATTAACCTGTAGAAAGGTGGATTGGGCTATGAATGTCATTTTGCAAATTACAGAAAACGATGAGCAACCACAAGCTTTTTAGCATGTGCTGTTGGTTGAAACGGGGTTTTCCCCAGTGCCACCTTTTCATCACAATAGCTATCTACAGCCAGATTGTCTCAGTGACCGGAAGGCTAATGTCTCCAGAGCGGAGGAGCCCTGGAGTGAAGTGGTGGAACTGGTTGTAACTTGACCCCTTGCATCTCGGGGAGTGAACCTACCTCGTATCTATGCCTTGGAAACGCATCCAAAAATGCCCATCCAAAGCGGCCCTCTGAAGCTGCCCCTGGTCTGGCTTTTGCTGCTTCTTGGCCGCGGGGAGCTGCCAGCCTCCTGCGCTGTACGCAAGGCTGCGGCTAGGGCTGCCCGGCCAGCCCAGTGCGTGCCGGCCAAGCATGTGGGAGAGTTAGTAAACAAAGGCGTCCGCCTGCACTACCCAATCCTGCAGCCGGCGGAGGAGGAGCTCTGCTGTCTTTGTTTGGACTGGAAGAGCAACAAGTTGTAAAGGGGGGGAGCTGTTCAGCCATTTACATTTGAAAACAAAACCGAAGAAATCCAGAAACGTAACCGAGGATGGAATAGTTCAGCCAGTGGTTCTCCACAGCCCGACCCTGGGATAGGCCTTGGCATTTGCATCTGCTGGGGGATTCTTGTTTGTCAGGGAAACTAAGTACTGAGCCACATACTAGTGTCTGAGGCGCCGTTCCCCATGGAGTGTTTTGTTAAAATGTCCAGTCCCCTCCAAGCCCTGCATGGAGGATTTCCTATGGCTTTTGGCGTGGCTGCATGTAGCCCCGATGTCCTGTGTGCAGTGACTTTTTCCAGCCTGTCACTGAAGAAGTGAGCTGTCTGCCTCTGGAGTGGCTTACAGTGTGTTGTGGGGCATTCTGAGACATGGAAAACCAGGCTGTTATCTAGCTTGCTGTAAAACTGAACACAGATTTGGATGCCCCATTCCAACCTGTCTCAAACAGCTGGTCAAAACCAACTTTCCAAAGTGATCAGATCCCAAAGAATCAGATCAGATCCAAAGAATCAGATTTAGAAAACCACAAGGTTAGTCACACCACTGTGGTCTTGTGAAGTCCTGAGAGAGAGCAAGTCTGGTTTTCAACAAGCTGTGCCTCTTCTTGGAGACTACAAAACATCTTATCTGTGAACTTGTGAAAAGAAAAGGTATGCTCTCATTCAGCAAGAGTTAGGAAAGACTTTCAGTGTTGGAGTAAGTCACATGGCCAGCTCAAGAGTTGTCCTCACTTGGCTCTTGAGTTCTGTGAGACAATCCAGCAGTTCAGGTATGGCTCTCATTTTGCTCCTGCAGCAGCAGGGCTGTGTTGACACAAAGGCTGTTGGTTGTTCTCTGGCTGTGAGAGGGAACTGAACAGGCAACTGCTGCTGAGGTTGACATCACTGAGTTGTCATTGGACTCAGCTGCACGCACAATCTAACCTCATCCCACACTGGGAGCCCTAGAGAATCACTGTTATCTCTTCCCTGTGCTCTCTGGCTATGTGGTGTTTGTTTTGTGGTTCTTGGCTATGCAAAAGAACTTGGGGTATGCATCTTGTAAGAATAAGAAAGTTGGCCGCACCTATGCTTGCTTTTGGCACATACACCATATACAGGGTTTTATTTGCTAATAATGTATTAAACAGAATACAGTGGTTTAAAACCTGACTTTTTAATCCTTAGAACAGTGCTAGAGCAGTAACACAACATTCCCTAGCACTCTGTGGCTTTAATCTTCTGTAGGTGCTGAATTTATTATAGGAAAGACTTGAGCAAAGCTCAGTGTTTGTGAGCATCAGAGCCCTGCTAGAGGTTAATCCAGTTTCAGAAGGGCTCTTCAGAATGATATGCAAGACCATCTATGTTTTCTAAAGCTCTTCAGAGGCAGCCCTTACCTGTCTGAGGCTGTGTAGCCTCTGGCAGAGTTTCCTCTATTCCACATTTCTTGCTCTGTCCCTTTGAAAACAATGCAGAGCTGAGTCATGCTTTTTCTGGGAGAACCAAACAGCAGTTGCATTCCTCTTCATTTGGAGCAAGCATGCATTTGCCAAGGTATCTGTGTGCCTTTTGTCTGAGTTGCTGACTATGGTCCAGCCTGTGGCATAGATTGAAGGGTGTACTTGGTGGTTAGGAGGAATAGAGCTGGGCTTACAGTCCCTGTTGGTCAGTCAGCAGGGACGTTGCCATGGACAAGAAGGCCTGGCACAAGTGCTCAGGCTCTTCCACAGGTCTTGAGTTCACTTGACCTCTCTTGCCTTGAGGAGAGGTTTCAGCTTTGCCTGACAGTGAATTTCATGACCTGCTGCGCTGCTGGATGGAATATGAGTAGAAAACTATGGACTGCTGCAGCAGTGCAGAGCTGCCCTATAGGAGAATGTGCATTAGGTAAGACTGAGGTGGATGCCACTGTATATCAGTATCACATTCCTCTAGTTTGACATGGATCCATTCAGACATTGAACACTACAGGTTTTAACAAATAACTAATGCATCAAGCTGCAGCTTTGAGGGGACCATTTTTTTTCGTGTCTTCTTCGTAGTGATCACTTCATGGGGGAATGAAGTTGTGTCTTTAAGAGTCAAGGAGTAGTAGCCTTGAACAGTTCTGGGCTCCAGTCCAAGCAGAGCCACTGACTTGCTGTATGACCTCAGACAAGTCTCTTGACCTCCTTGTGCTTCAGTCAACCCATCTGGAAAGCTTGGTTTAAAAAAAGCTGACCCTCAATGAGAACCAGATGCTGAATCAGAGCTGAGCTTTCTTGAGTAAATAAGTGTATTACAAACAACAACAAAGCCTCTTTCCAACACATCAAGAGTCCTGCAGTTGATTAAGATATGCTGACCACGCTCAAAAAACCTCCCATGAATTTAGCTATAGAAAATCTTGTTTCTGACAGTTCCCAACTTGATTCAGCAGATAACTCTTGCTGTTGCTGTGCAGTGGACCCAAGCAGTATGTGGACTTTGGATGCCTGTATCCCTCAATTGTGGACAAGCTACCAGACTTGTACCAGTTGTCTCAATTTAATGATACTGAAAATGTATGGGAGGAAATGTTGTTTTCCTTTGAAAGTGAAACTTGTTACATTTTTGCATATTTTTTCCCCTCTGTGTCTCATGAGAATTACTGAGGCCTCCTGAGACATCTTTGCTTACGCAATAGAGAGCCTGGGTGTCTTGTCTGAAGCTTCTTAGTTCAGCATAATGGGTACACAGCACTACCTGTGCAATTGTTATCCAGAACTCCTGCAGGCTTTCTCCATTTTTCTCTCATAGTTTATTGGGGACATTCAGGGAATTTTTAACTTAATTTTTTTAACTGAAGCTTTTTGTAAGAAGTTCTCCTTTACATGACTTTACATTAAAAAAAAAAAAAAGTCAGAAAAGACTTTAAATAGTGTAGAAATTCCAAAACTGGCCTGCAATTGAGCCTGTGGCAACAACTCCTTGCTTGTACCTGCAGTCTCTCTGAGACTTGGGGTAAGTGCTTTCATTTGTTTCCTGAATAGGTTTGTACATCTCAAGATCTCTGCTTCTGGCTATTGTGGGCTGGTCTCTGCTGCTGCTGTACAAAGCAGTGATCTTCAGTTCAGCTTTGCTGACTGTGGGATTCACGTTGGTGCAGGACTTGAGTGTCTGGCCAAGTGTACAGGAGCACAGCATGGGAGAGTACCAGGCTAAGAATTCTGTAAGTGGGTGAGCCCAGTGTAGAAGACAGGGAAGAGGCAGAATATGAAATGGATAAAATTGAGAGGCAAAGCTATACAACTGGAATAGTAAGTCTGAGGAAAGCAGTGTGCTGGGAGAGGAGTTCATGCAATTGATGGAATCAGGATCTTGATATGGGAAAGTGGAGGCAGATTTTTTTTTTTTTTG